GGCTCAGGGGGGGTCTGAGGGGCTCAGGGGGGGTCTGAGGGGCTCAGCCGTGTGTGGTGAGCCCCTGGCCCAGGTTGCCCAGGGAAGCTGTGGCTGCCCCATCCCTGGGAGTGCCCAAGGCCAGGCTGGACGGGGCTCGGAGCAGCCTGGGCTGGTGGAAGGTGTCCCTGCCCATGGATGAGCTTTAAGGTCCATTCCAACCAAACCATTCCGTGATTCCATGAGATTTATTGAGCAATTCAGTGATATTTTATAGCCCGTCCCCACATCAGGTTTCTCCAAATCTCATTTCAGCTTCAAATTAAAAACTCTTTGTTGCATAAATAAAAATAAACCACGTGCACAGAGCAGGGTGAGCACAAGAAATCCTCCTCCTCTTCCTCCTCCTCCTCCTGCTCCTCCTCCTCCTCCTCGTGTGTCTGATGGGATGAAGAGGGAATTCCTGGGGAGAGCTCTGGAGTTATGCAGCTCTAACAAAGCAGAAATGGGAAAGAAAAGCATAAATTCCTGTGGAACTGCACCTGATTTCTTTTGCTCCCTGTAGGAAACGAGGCATCATTTACTCCCTTTGAACCAACCAGCCCCCTCTGCAGATCCATTCTGATTGCAGGATGTGTGTCCAAATTAATATCTAACAGTAAATTTTGGGGGAAATCAGCGACTGGGCAGGGGAGAGAGGTGTAAATAAGTGTTTTCCTGCAGGACTCAGCAGTGCCCTGTTTTCCCTGGGAGCTGCTGCCCCTCAGCTCCCATTTTCTGGGATTGTCCATAGCCCAGAGCTGCCCCTTATTCCCAACCTACATTTATCCAGGGCCAGTTCAGCCCTTTTTGTCCCTGTGCCACCTTTTGCCGTTGGCATGAACAGCTCTTTCCTCACCCTGTTTTCAGGGATGGTGCCTTTTTCTCTCCCAGTCTCCATCTTATCCCTCCCCAGTCCCTCGAGCCTCCTTGTCCCTGCACCTTTTGCACCCCAGTTCCTTGTGTTTCTCCCAGAATTCCTTTCCCAGGAGTGTGAAATGCACGGGAAAAATATTTCCCATGAGTTGCCTGATGAACAGCTCCCCTTTTTCCATTAAAAAGCGGGGA